TTGAGAAGAATATTCAGTAAACAAGGGGAAAAACGACGACGATTTCCAAATTATACTTTACGAAATTATGAAGAAAAACGAGTTGTGCTGAAATCTAGTAGCGCGAAACGAAATGACAGCGACACAAATCATAGAAAAAAATTATTAAGTAGGATTCAAAATCTGATGGATGAATCAACAGCCTCGAGACTTAACTGGAATAATTTCAAAGTTTAATCGCCCATGTGGATTCATATTAACAACTTACTTGTCGTATCTATAACTATCCTCTGTTTGCTCTTGTTACATAACTCTTAAAGAAGATAATTTCGTTGTCCTTAGGGTGGTCTATAAAACCGAAAATTCAAAGGTGATGGTGATCTTTAAAAAGCCGAGGTGATGATTCTCGTTGCAACGACTGCCAAATCACTTTTCAACACAACGCGACGGCGTTCTCGACCCAGTTTCTTATCGACATTTTTGCTGCGCGCGCCGTTCTGAAATGACGTTCCCGTCCTCTTGCTAAATTACTCTAATCTAATACTTGCTAAACTGGCGGCACCTGACAAGTTTCCTTTCAAAAGTTGTTAACTGCTCAATACAATCTGACCAAAACCCCCGGCAAAGTGTTATGAAGCATATTTGAACATGATTATATAGAGAATGCGCAATAAATGCATCATTACCACTATCTTCATCACTAACTTTCTTGCGTTGAAGGCACTTCCTCAGCATTAGACTGCACATCCCTACTGCGCATGAAAACACGTAATCAGGCGAATAAGTGCGTGCATTTCGAGAACGCGGTATTGTTTTTTAATAAATGGATCGGGTAAAGAGGCACGATGGTCTTTAGCTCTTGAACGAGCACGGTGACTTATATTTTTTATTGCATAGTTTTGGTGTATAAATTATCCCCTTTAAATTACAGAAATTAAGAAAATATTCATGAAAGGGAAAAAAAGATAAAGCTAAAAATCGCTCAAAGCCCGTTACTCGATGATGCAAATTTTGACCTTGAAAGCAACGACTTGAAGAACCATTTGATTCAATGTTGTTTAAAATTACGTAATTTTTCCACAAATAATATATCAAATTGTTTCAATCGCTTGAGACTTTCAACCTATCGAGTTTTTTTCAAATGTTACTTTAAAAACCCTTTTTTCCAGCCACGTCAAAGTGAATCATGAACCGATAAAGTGATGCGCGTAATTGATGCCAGTTTAGGCATAAATGGGGTAAAGGGGTAAGTTCTAAAGAAACTGTGGTGCTACGTCGGTGGGAGAGTATAGCAGGTAATTTAGTGTTAACAACTGAGTTGAAAACGTAAATTGGCCACCGTAAAGAGTAAAAAAGCTGACGTTTCGAGCGTTAGCCCTTCGTCAGAGCGATGGATTGATTGGGGTAAGTTTGGTTCATTATATCTCTTAAAAAAGCACAGTACCCTATCTTTTTAAATGTATTTTTTTAATGTAATATTAACCTCTCCGTTTCGCGGATTGGCAATTATCCACCACTGTTCACCTTTACTTAACTGGCCTTATTTCAGCTACTAGTTCAATAGTGTTCATAACTGCGAGGATCACTTCTATCTTCGTTTCTTTAACCGCAGTGGACATATATGATTTTCATATATTTACAGTCATTATTCGATGAATAATTCTAAAATATGAATCTCAGACGGAGAATCAAAAATAAGAAATGCTATAAAAAGCTATGAAAATTAAACTGAGCTAGATATTGGAAAGATGGCAACATCTTTTTAATTGAGCACGGTAACTAGACAAAGATGATTTTCGTCTTATCATGAGCATGGCAGAGCCCGTCATATCCTTGAAATGCACATTTTTTGGTGATTAAGGCATTACTGTGAAACGAAATAATGGAATACTTCTGAAGAGGCATGCAAAGGCCCGCTTCAATAAAAACTCTAAAATAAAATAAAAAATTGTTGCTCAGCAGATGGTTTATTACCCTTTTTAATCATGTGTAAAGACAAGAAGAGGTCATAATCTCTTGGTGAAGAAGATGTAAATTCCGCAAAATCAGGGAAGCAACCTTTACAAAATATACTAAAAAGTAAGACGGGACCGAATAACTATAAAGATTTGACAATAAAAAAAAACTTTTCAAATACTGAGAGAAATATAGGAAACACGATACACCAGCACGAAACGGGTTAAAACAAGACCAAGTATCAAAACCGGTACACACTTCTATAAGGGCGTGGAACGTGGAATATACGGGATAGTCTAATGTATTCCGTAAAACATCGAGTCAGACTATTTTGCAGTACCTTGAATTAGCGTCCACGGGCTCGACAACTATCCAACATAGTTAGTTCCTAGCTTCTCCAGGTGAATGTGGTATAATCATGAATGTGGTTGTTATACCCACTGCCGTTGCAGTCACCGTAAATCGTGATTTGAGATCGGTCCATTTTTTAGTTAGAAATGGCTCACACTGTATGCAAGGCATAGCTATGCTAGCTTTTCTCGTTTTGATAAGTGGGGACCGATATATTGCTGTAAAGTTTCCCTTGAGGTATAGGGAGATCGTCACAGGACAGAGGATCAAAAAGGCTGTAGCCGTTGCATGGGTCAGCACAGTTTTTGGAACTATTCAGGAAAATGTGATTGCCACGAGAGAAAGTACAACAAAACTATATGCGTTATATTGGAAGGTGGATATTGTTGTGACTGCTTTACTCGTGTTACTATGTATCACTGGCATAACGTTCTTGTACCTGTCCATCTTCCTCGAAACACAACGTCAGAAAAAACGCCTACAGGCAGGACAGCTGTCAGCTCAAGAAGTTAGAGAGTTGAAGAAAGACGTAAATAACAAGGCAACCGTTACA